ATTGTGATATAGAATCTCAGCCAGGTCATCTGCAATTAGAGCTTTGTGAACTTCAATGTGACCCATCCTTAAACACATCTCAGGTTACTGGAATTGACTTTTGGAAACTGCTTTCACCAGAACGTTACCCACTGTTACGAAATTTGGCTCTCAAACTTTGCTCTGTTTTTGCAAGTACTTACATATGCGAAACAGCGTTTTCATCACTGAAGCATGTAAAGTCTAAAAACAGGAACAGACTTTCAGATGTCGTGTTATCACATATTCTTCGAGTGGCAACCTCACAATTAGAAGTGGATTTTATATCATTGGTTTCCAGTTTTATGAAACCACAGTGCTCTCATTAAAACAGTGTGTATATGAGGATTTAGGTATAATCATTAGACCATAAAAACTACGATTGAAAGCCTTTTGTGCTCATCCCTGCTGAAAGAGGAATTTGTGCTGTTTTATGGTAAGTAATTGCAAATTTCAAGGCATTTTATTTTTCTTTCTTAAATTATAATTGCATTTTCCCCCGGCATATATAAAACTAAACATAAGGCATGATCTGGCCAGTGTTTCTTTAAGAAAAAATGCTCTGGGGGTAGAAGTGATAGAAGGCAATATAATCGATTGGTGAAATTTTCAATATCGACTTAATATTATTGGTGCAACGTAAAATTTAAATACATAGGTTTAAATGCACTTGTTTTTACACGGGTTGTGACTGATTCAGTTTGGGGGGCAATGAAAGAAACACTGTGTCTGGCCCCTGATGGTGTTCTATAAACTAAATTTGGCCCTCGAAATGTATTAGGTTGGCCAACGCTGGTCTAGGGAAATGTGGGAGCCTCGACGTCTCACATCTCTATGGGCCTCCACGGACTGTTATAGGGATAACTTTATGAAAATGTTGTGTTATAATTCGTGTTTATCTCGTTTACGTAGTGATGCCGTTTTCTCTTGTTTTTCTGGCCTTGTGAAGCTTGACCTTTGCTGGCATTCAGATAATTAGGTCAATAAAATCTACAGTAGCCGCGCGGTCTAAGGCATGAACCGTCTTCACCCGCTCTAACACTAGGATCCTGGGTTCGAATCCCACTTGAAACATGGATGTCTATGAATTTTATTCATTGTTTGTGCTGCCCTATGTGTAGGTAGCGCCCTTGCGACGGGCTGATCCCCCGTCAAAGGAGTCCTACCGTTTGTGTAAAAGATCAAGAAATTGAAAAAGCTGCCAAGGCCCAACAAAGGGCTGTACAGCCATAGAGATAATCTATAGGTGTGCGTTGTTTTGTTTTTCGTGCATTTTTTGTTTCTTCTCCCAGATTGACTTTGTTGCGCGACGTGTCGTGTCCTGGTGAGTGGTTGTGTGGAAAGTATAAGTTAAATATATTTTCGAAGGAACATGTCAGTACAATGAAGATGGAAGCAGCAAGTTCCTCCGAAACTACACACTGTGTAACCGAGTGGTTTGGCTTAGTTGGAACACTCTAGGCTCGTTCTTTTTGGGAAGTGCTTGACTCAAATTCTGCTGGAACACCTGCAGTCCTGACATTTTGTGATTTTCCTCAGTTCCTCTAGACACATGCTGGTTCGCTATCTCTATTAATCCACGACCGCTTCCTTTGCAAGTCCTTTTCACTTCGCCATTCATCCACATATTGGACACTTATTGTCAACTTACTGACAGTGTCCTAAAGTAACCCACACGAGCACAGGTTTACGTCCCGTAACAGTAATCTTCTTGCTGTTTTGTTAGGCGTCAAGAGGAATTTGTTGTGTTGCTAGGCGCAACCCAAGGTTACAGCCTTCAAATGCTTCTGACACTGGCTCTGCGTTCCAACTGACGTAATGGAATTTGACGTAAGTAACGAAATATGCCCAGAACATTGTCACAATCAGCTTTATTGTATGGGTGTGAAACTTGGTCTATGACATGAAGGGAGGAACATAGACTGAGGGTGTTTGAGAAGGGGGCTGAGGAGAATATTTGGACCGAAGAGAGATTAAGTGACAGGAGGCTGGAGAAAACTGCACAATGAGAAGATTCATAACTTGTACTCTTCTCCAAGTATAATTAGAATGATCAAGTCAAGGAGAATGAGGTGGGCAGGGCATGTAGCACGAATGGGGGAGAAGAGGAATGCATATAGGATATTGGTGGGAAAGCCAAAAGGAAAGAGACCACTGGGAAGACCAAGGCGTAGGTGGATGAACAATATTAAAATGGATCTTAGAGAGATAGGATGGGATGGCATGGCTTGGATTGATCTGGCTCAGGATAGGGACAAGTGGAGGGCTCTTGTGAACACGGTAATGAACCTTCGGCTTCCATAAAATGCTGGGGAATTCTTAAGTAGCTGCAGATTTGGCTTCTCCTCAAGAAGGGCTCAGCTCAATGAGTAAGTAAGTATTTTTTCTTGTAGCTAGTGGGGTGGGACTAAGTCCCTTGTACTGCGGCCACTTCTGGCCTATTGTACCAGCCCCAGATGATAGGTGAGGGTGATTGTGGAGGAGTTGGAATGAAGATTGGTAAGGGAAACCGAAGTACTCGGAGAAAACTTGCCCCAGCGCCACTTTGTCCACCACAAATCCCACTTGACCAGACCCGGGATCGAACCCGGGCCGCCGCGGTGGAAAGCCAGCGACTAACCGGTTGAGCTATGGCGCGGCCTAGTAAATAAGTAAGTACTGGACTTTGGAAAATTCTGTTAAAAAACATTCTAAGAAATGCTGTAACAAGCCTCTCTAATTCATTTTGACGTAAATTGTTTATTGAATTTTTAAAACGCAGAGCGAAGTTATCTCTCGCAGTTGGTTGCTTGTGAGGGGCTGAAGACTGCCTGGTGCCGTTATTTGTATTTAGGAAATTGATTCCAATCAGTTAAATAGGCCAAAGTTTAACTGGAACGTATTACCGACCTCCATAACTTTCTGTACAACTCACAGAGCACTTGCCAATCACATGTGTTTAGGACACGTGATATCCGTCACGCTTCTGTGGACAAGAGTGCACGAACCGTCTATGTCCATCATCAGCGGAAATGACGTGTGTATTTTGTGCTTTATTTCACGCCTCTGTCAGTATCCCGACTCAAGGCGAAGGGTGAATCCGGAAGGACCCGTAAGTAACCTGCCCTGACTGAACTGATGTAGGATCCCGGAATTTGTCTGTGGGAATTGAAAACCAAGAAAGGTCTCCGTGAAAGCAGCCGTTGTTCCAGCTAAGATTCGGACCTGGCACCTCCCGAATACAAATCTGGTGGTACATACAGAAACCACTTTGTTATGAAAGGTTTAACTAACACTGTGGGTACTGAACCAGAAGTCTCATCGCTGATAGTAATAAATGCCTTTGTTAGAACTGATTTTAGGCTTTTCGTTCTAATTTCCTCTCTATTGAACAATTTTTTCTTATGATCCATTTTAATATTATCCTCATTATTCAGGTCAGTTTTACCAAATTACACATCATCACCACGCGGACTCAAGTTTCACATTAATAAATAAATATATAAACCCTTCGAAGTACATAAGAACACGTTGCATGAACATAAGATATGTGCTAGGTCACGATCAGGGGAGCAGTCTTTTTGGTTTAAGAGTATCGTGTCTATTTTGTGAATAATGTCACATGTATGAGTGAGTATAGACGGGGTTTGGATTGGTAACCATGTTCATTGAATACTTCAGCAAAACTCATGACTGCGCTTTTAAAATCAGTCACACACAGACTAGTGTTCTCAGTCTGTTACAGTCTGCATTAGCCGTTGCCCAGTAGCGGCTACTAACGGTTTGCATTCCCCTTTCTCTGGGTTCCCGACCTGTCCCCGGCCTCAGCTACCAGCTTTTCATAGCAACAGAAACTGAACCCCAGCGGATATCCAACTAACTCACCAACAAACTCAACTCAGCCATTCACCAACCGACTCCACTCCACTGACTGACTGCTCAGAGTCAAAGTCAAAGTCACATTGCGACTGACTGTCAGCCAGTCTATAAGTCTTGGTGTCGAGCCCCATCTGGGGCCCATGACCAGATATTTATTACTGTTTGGCAGCTACGATTTTGTTTTTGTGGGGCGCCCTCTCCGACGAGAGGACGGGTCTGTCTTTTGTATATGCTGCTGGCCCTTGCCAGCACACTCTTTCTCGGATCCGAGTCCCTTGGGACTAGCGACAAAATTTTACTGTCTTAGATTTGAGACTTCTCTTTTCGTCACCTCCTACGACTCGCAGGGTCACGGTGGAGGTATTCGTCCCCGCCTCCACACGGGTACTGACTGCTCACAAAATTGTCGTGCTTATATCTTTGCACGGACCACGTAGAAAACATCGCTTTCCATTATTGTTGTATCGTCTTGTTATCGTAGAATTGTTGCGTTCATGTCTGTGGGCAGAGCCGTTACCTCGCAACAGCTTTCGTATAGTTGCTTATTTCGCGGTCGTTGTCTGGCTGCGGCTTCACATACCACAATACTAATAATCCTTATAAATTGAATACGTGAAGTGTAATATAGTATGTAATGGAGACGGGTTACGATTGACTATTTGTGTGTGTTATTCGTGGGAGATGGCATTGAATGTGGCCTCGACGAATGACGGAGGAGCTGGAGACGAATACGAGAGAACTCAAAGAAAGTTAATTGTATGAAACCTTATATGACAAATGGTGAGACTTCCCGTTAAATTCCCAACCCGTGCTACACCCCTTAGCTCGCGCGCGTGTAGATCCCTCGGCCCCCGACTTCCCGGCTTCAGAATTTCCGGACTTAGACCCCATTAAATTAACAGTGTTAACCTTACGATCCGAATTTTCATACAAAACAACTCCGAAGTCAAATTTTGGACTTACACCATGTAATGATTTATGGACTGAACTGCAACTCCATACGATCGATGATAAAATTATTTTTAGTATTTCTGATGGTTTCAGTAACAGCCGGGGTAGCGCAATCAGTACAGCGACTGGCTACGGGCTGGACGACCGAGGGGTCGGAGTTCGTGTCCCGATAGGTGCAAGAGTTTTCTCTTCTCCAAGTTGTCCAGACCGGTTCTGGGGCCCACACAGCCTCCTATGCGGTGGGTACTAGGGGCTCTTTTCCTGGGGGGAAGGCAGCCAGGGCGTAAAGCTGGCCACTCACCTCCAAATAGCGTCGAGGTCAAAAAAACGTATATCTATACATCCACTCCCCAATACGCCTTCATAGCGTAGTGCTTGATTAGTTAATCACAGGGACATATTTACCTTAATAGTTTCAGTGTAGTCCGCTGAAATTCAACCGACGTTTCGGGGGAACATACTCCATCGTCAGGGTCGAAGAAGCCGAGCAAGAAACCAGCTTGCAAGCGGGTAGCAAGCAGAGACAGGCGATATATTCCTCGGCAACATTGGCTGAATTTCAACGGACTGCACGGCGTTATATGCCAGGAGATTGTACTGTTCATAATCACCGTTGTGGAAGCCTCAGTTCCTGCGTTGAGAAACTGGTTTCAGCTTCGAGCTCCAAGAACGTAACCCTACAAGTCCCATGTTGCAGGTATAGTAAATGTTTCGACGTAACGGTTAGTTTTCATCAAGTCCAAGACACAGCTGCAGGAGTCAGCTGTCACTGGGAACGGCAACCCCGTGACCTTGCTTTCATGCAATATCACTGTGTTTAATTGAAAGAAGTGCTGATAAGACTCGCGCAGAAATCAGCTGCCCCAGACCACAGAGCGGTGTGTTTGCGCAAGTTAAGTGTTGCGGAGAAAACAGATGCATTTAAGTACGAATTGCCGCTGTATTCACTTGCTGCTTGTTCTCCAGATAACGTATCGTCAGCTCTTTATAAATTTTCCACGCAGAACTGAGTCAGTAGGACTAGACTGTGGGCTGGCTTAACGAGGGAGAAGGGTTAGATTCCCGGTAAGGGTAAGAGCTGGCCCCAAGATCCGCCTGTCCTCCTATCCAGGTGGTGCTGAGAGCTTTCACGGCCGGGAGAAACAGTCGTGGCCTGAAAGCTTCCCACTCACTTCCATATGTTGCCAAGGTCAATAAAGAACTGCGTCGAATGTCTTCATGTGGTGGTTACTAATTAAACACATGAACAAATTTGATATTCGGCATCATTCGAAACTGAGGCAGACCTGAAGTGTTTGTAACAACAATCTCTGTGAGGAATTAATCGCCTACTTTCCTTTCATAGACACGAACCGCATAGAAAACGAAAAAGAATGGGGGTCACACCGTTTCCTAACAAAGACAAGGGGGGACACATGGAGAGCGAGGTGGTCTCATAAGCCTTTTATTTTTTCAGAATAAAGAAAATAGGCTAAAAATTGTTTCATTATCATATTTTGAGTTTCTCGTAATGGTCACTATGACTAGCGAAGCAAGTAAAGCTATCCCTGTAACAGGCCGTGGAGGCCCATAGGGTTGTGAGACGTCGAGGCTCCCACATTTTCTCTACACATTCGGCTCACAGATGGCGGTAAGGTTGTCACCCTTACTCGCCGGTCGCCCTTTATCCCCTAGGAAGATTCCTGGTACTCATTTCTGTTAGAGGCTGAGTCGACCCCGGGGCCCTTGTGCAGCTGAAAAGATTAGACCCGTTTCTAAGCAGTGACTCTGTAAATAGAGGCCGCTGCTAGGTAACTTCCGCAACATATACGCACGCAACACTAGAACAACGGGGTTATGCAACCCGTTTAAAAGCAACGGCTCTGTAAGAAAGTTCTCGCGAAAACGTTATTCGAGCTGTTGCTAGGCAACGGATCGGTAATCACGCCTACAACAATACGGGTATTTTTTGGAAATTGTGTTTTCTGTTCGATCCGTTCAAAGTGGTTGTAAAAAAGAGTTCAGCTTAGAATCGTGTGGAG